TCCACGGAAAGAGAAGGGAGAGAAAAAAATCCAGCAAGGAGAACAGCTGTCGTGTTGTTTCGCTTTTGATTCCTTTTCTTCCTGAAGGATGTGGGAACCGAAAGCAGAGCGCTGCCCAAAGGCCGCTGAGCGCGACCACCTAGACTCCTGCCCTCCTGCGCAGGGTCGGCCGGCCGCTGGTTGATAGGTGTCTTTTCTTGAGACTCTGTTATCGCTTAAGGGAAAAGACGTGGAAGGGCCCTGGATATTTATGCTGTGTATCCAGGAGGGCTGTTCTCACCACCTACTGTTTTTCTCCCACCCAGCTTTTGCACTCCATGCCTGCAAGAATGTCTTAAGCCAAAAAAGCCTGTTTGCGGCGTGTGCCGCAGTACCCTGTCACCTGGTAGCAGAGCTCTGGACTTGGAAAAGCAAATTGAAACGACAGAAACCACTTGCAATGGCTGCAATAAAAAAGTATGAAAGTATTTGGAAATCAAGTGCATGAGGTGTGCCTGCTTGGCTGTACTGCCTAGGAAGAAATAAAGCACTTGCTTTCTGCAGAATCAAGTCAAAATACATGTTCTGCTAAGTGCTAGAGATATTTTAGATCGGCTGCACACAGTTGTTTTTTCACAGCTTTTTTTTTTATTGTTATCTCTTCAGGAGGTGAATTTCAAATAAAAGACACAGATTTTAAAGTCGTAGTAAAACAGTCCTTCTGAAGTTGCTTCTGTTGTAATGAAATGTTGTAATGAAACATTTGGCAGGGGTTTTAGATATTGGTCTCTCTGCCTCTTAAGGAGAAATTCATCGGCTTCGTTTGAAATGGTTATGAGTCAAAGTTGTCCCATACGAATGGTGTGTTCCATAGGCTTATTGTTTGTGTCCTGCATGTGGGATACCGGTGTGGCATCATTCCTGCCATTTCTGTTCTCTTTGCAAGGGTGGGCTTTTTAGTGGTAATTGAATGTGTAGGAAAATTTCCTAGCAGATGGCAATACGATGTGGAAAGCATAATTGGAGACACTAAGGGGAGGGTGACAGTTCAGTTAATTTCACTTTCTGTTTCTAGGTAGTCTCTTCATTCTGTCTTCATTCCAGCTGATAGAAAACTACTCTGTCTTGAATTAAAGATTTCTTTATTGTAAACTTGAATTTTGTTTAATGAGATTGGACAATTAGTAATCGGTCTACACCAAGGTGTGTATGAAAAGCCAAATTATCTTCCATACGTTGTTTCTTCTCAGTGACTAGGTAAGCTGCCTTTATATGAAGAAATGTTTTTTAATACCATAGTGTAATTTAAGAAAGGTAAACTGTTCTAAACACTGTTATATTTGTAAAATATGACAGGCGGCAGAGTTCCAGGTTAACTAATCTGTAATAGCAAAGCTTTCCACCTCGACAGCCAAAGTGTTTGGGTTTTCTTGCTTCAGCACTCGGCAGAAAGCTGCTTTGTTTTATGTGTTTACTACTTATGCTTCCAAGTGTAGAAGTAACTGCAAATAGTTTTAAAATAACCTTGCCTTGCAATTGTTGCCTGCACAGATGTATCTCTCAAAGATGCGTAGCCATGCAGCTTCTTGTTCGAAGTACCAGAATTATATAATGGAAGGTGTGAAAGCCGTAACTAAAGAACCACTTCACAACACCAGGTAAATAGCCCTTCTCTGGAAATACTTCTCTCTCTTTGTCACCAAAAAAGGTTTTGAAATAAAAGTGGACTTTACCTCTTTGCTCAGTTTGGCTGTTAATTGTTCTAATCCTCTCGCATATTTAGAAGCTAAGCCTTAATCCTGACTGTGCACAGGCAAGCTGTTTTGTATTCTACTTAGTCCATGCACAAGACACGAGATCAGGGTACTCAGTAAAAGTAGCTATTTTTTTAAATAAGCTCTGTCATTCTGTCTCTTGATTTTACTGTCCTGGTTTTGTCTGGGACAGAGTAAATTTTCTTCCTGGGAGCTGGTGCCATGCTGTGGTTTGGATTTAGCCTGAGAACAGTGTTGATAACACACCGATGTTCTAGCTCTTTGTGAAGCAGTGCTTATCCCAAATCAAGGATTTTTCAGCTCCCCCATGCTCTGCCAGCAAGGAGGTGCTCAGGGAGTGAGAGGGGGCATGGCCAGGGAAGCTGGCCCAAACTGCCCAGAGGGACACCTGCCCCATGAGATGTCAGCTCCATGTATGAAGTGGGGGGAGGTGGCTGAGGGCAAGCAGAACGTTGCTCAGGGCCTGTATGTCGCTTCTTTTTTCTTGGGTTTTATTTCTCTCGTTATCTTCCTTTTCACTGCTATTATTACATTTTAATTTCCATTATTAAACTGTTCTCGACCCTCAAGCTTTACTTTTTTCCGGTTCTCCTCCAATCCCACCTTGCAGGGAGAGGAGCAGGCGAGCAGCTGCGTAGTGCTGAGTTGCTGGCGGGTGTTAAACCACCGTCGTGGTCACTCAGAATGAGGGGAAGTTGGGATTTTCCGCAGTGTGCTCATCTGCGTTGTGGCACACTGGGTGGTAGCCTGTGCATTAAAAAGAAAAAGTGATAAATGGAATTTATAATGTGTGTAGAGGAACTATTGTTCTGTGGAAACGTGCATGATATTTTTAAGCTGATTGTTAAAATTAGGTGGTCTTAACTGTGTAGAATAAAATTGCTTTTAATAATTTGTATTTTAAAGAGATGGTAAGACAACTTCTGTGTATCGAGTCCTAAAGCTTTTCCTTTTAACTTTCCTGCAGTGATACATAACCTCTTTTTCTCCTCCCCCAACCAGGAACTTCCCAAATCGCTTTACCTTTCCTTGTCCGTATTGCAGCGAGAAAAACTTTGATCAAGAAGGACTAGTTGAACACTGCAAAACGTTGCACACCATGGATGCAAAACAAGTGGTAATAAAAAGTCTTGGTGCGAGAATTGCAATGAAGTCTAGTCTTAAATCCCTTTGAAACAATGAATTAGAGACTCTTAAAGTTAAGTACGTATTTATAATTATTTCTGTTAAAGTCAAATGTGGGTATGCCGTTCATGCATTTAACTTTTATATAACTTTGATGTTGATTTTCGATAAATTCTCTGGAGGTGACAAGTCTGTTCCTGTTGCAGCGAGATCACATCCTTCTTTCATATTTGAAAAATGGCTGGTGATCGAAGTTAATTTGGCACAGTAACAAATATGAAATTAATAAAATATAATTTCAAAAAACAAGACAGAAATTTAACTTTCCCCTCTGCTTTTTTTCAGCAAGAAGGTTGAAATGATTGGGGAAAATGCTTGCAAAAAATAGTTTATCATTCTAGTAATCCTTAATCTGCTTGATATTCCCTCTCATGTAAGAGGAATTGCAAAAAGTGAGATTGAAATTGAAACATTTTTTTTCTGGCAAGTTTTTGGGAATTTCAAATTATTTAGAAAAGATTTGTGTGTTTTTTCTCTTGGAGAGAAGTGATCTTTGCAAAGGTGATCAAGGAAACTTTTTTGCTACTGAGAACTAAAAGCTGGAATCTTCTAAAATGAACAGCTGTAGTTAATTCTGATTTTTGGAATGTAGGGAGAAGAGTAAGAAGTTCCATTTCAGAGATCTAAGACATGAATTAAAATTATTCAGAGTTATCTAAAGCTTTTGTATTAAATATCCCAGCAAAGTATGTGGCATCACTTTGCATATAGAATAGCAGTTGTCACAAACCTCGAAATTCCATCTTCCGTGCTGTCTCTGTCCTGCCCTTCCTACTGTAAATTTTAAGGCACTTAACCATTGGGGCTTAATTGGCTGTTTTTTTGGTTTTTCTTGAAGGTTTGCCCAATTTGTGCCTCAATGCCGTGGGGAGATCCAAATTACAGGAGTGCTAACTTCATGGAGCACCTTCAAAGACGACATCGCTTTTCCTATGATACTTTTGTGGTATGTGTTTCCTCACCCTTGGAATACTGCCTGCTGACTCTTAAAACACAGCTTTTTTTTTTTTTTTTAACATAGCCACTACTGCGTAATCTCATCCATGTGGATGGTATCGCGAGAGAAAATGAATTACTGCCGAGTCGAAGGAAAAGACAGCTTTTCTCTCTTCTTATCTGGTGTTGTGTTAACCAGCATGGCTGTTGCAGTAAAAGAATTTCTGTACCCTTTGTTCGTAGGATTATGACGCTGATGAAGATGATATGATGGCACAGGTTTTGATGCGTTCTTTGCGGGATAAATGAGCCAACTAGAAGATTAACTGTAAAACCAATCTTCCATGGGGGGAAAATGCCCAGCATCCTCGCACTTCTCCCTGTGCATCCCAAGATGAACTCAGGCATCCAGAAATACGTAAGACTTCAATCTGTCTCGATTTCAAATCCCTATTTGATGTTTCTGTACCACTCCGTCTTTTGTTAACGCGGTCTGTGCCATTCAGCCCTCTCAGCCTAATTTTCTTACTCACTTCACACAAAGCTTAATTGTAGGTGGAGACAAATCTGTTTTCCTTATGCCTATTTCGTCTTTTTTTTTTTTTGCAGTTATTTTCATTTGTCTAAAAACAACCATTCCAAACGGAATGGCCTGACCTAGTTAATAAATATCTCTTCCCAATCTTGTTTACATATCTTAAATGGTAGTAGGAGAGGTGTGTTTGTAGCTCTATTTTCCTTTAGTGAGACCTCTAGGTGCTAACTGTAATTGTCAGACCGGCTCTCATTTCAAGTGACCTACGATGCCTGTGATTTCATAATGTTTATCAGTGTTTAAATTCTGACACACAGCCTCTCAACTATATGGAAAACATATCTTCAGTGTGAGTCTTCAAACTACAGACTTTCTCGGCAAATCTTTGCACCTGTGCAAGCAACTAGTTCAAAATACTTTAGTTCTATGCATGATTATTACTTTCTTCTGTACTTTGACCATAATTTCTAGCCTGGAAAATAAATTTTAATGTTTGTCTTGGTTAAAAGGCATCATTTTATAACTATCTTAGCAAATACTAACCCTGTTCGCTGGCTTTATGATTAAATTGGTGGTTTTGAAACTGATTTTCTAGTCATTTCAAGCCTTATGCCAATGGGGAGATTCAGAAGTGTGATGTATGGGGTTTCTTGTTGTTTGGTTGTTTCTTTTTTTTCCCAATACCTCTGCTTTCTATTTAAACTAAAATTTTTGTATATATTCCTAGTTTTTTTCATCTCACAAGGCAAGCTGGTAGCAGAACTTACTGATAATTCATAGCACTTGCATAGCACTACCTTTCTGCATTACAGATTTGAACGGATATTTTTGAATTCCTGTTCTTCACTTAGATGTTGCTAAAGTAGCTGAAGCTGTGCACTAGATTGTTTTCCATATAATATTATACGTATAGTACACAGGTATAGCTTTCAAACTAAAAATATAACCCGGAAAGCAGGATGACAATTTCAGTACGTGGTAAATGGATATTCAAGTCAACACTTTCACTATAGAGATTCCATCTTAGTTTAATGTTTTCATTAATTGCACAGTCAAGATGCTGAGATGTAATGATCTAAGACACCTGAACAGAACTTGTAAATCACAGTAGTGTTGAGATGTCTAGTCTAATTTAAGCATGTTTAATTGGAGCAGTGGACCTGCACCAACACAGAATTGAGTACTAATTAATTTGACCAGTAAACTCGATATCGTCGCACTTTGCAGGCTGCAGCATAGCCTTTCCTGTAAAACAGTGAAATGCACCCCAGCTAAAACCTCTTGATGAAACTTTGTGCCCAGCCAGACCTCCAATGTGGTTAAGCTGAACCTGGTTTTAGGATGTTTTCCCCAACTTGGTATGGGCTGTTGCAGACTCATCCTGAAGTGTCTGCTTGCTGACTGGTCTTGGGGTGGGGGAAATCTTGTGGTACTGTGCAAAAACTGCTGTGCTTGGGGTTGATTAATTTTAATGCTTGATCTACAAAGAGATTACAACGTATTAAGTGATTGGATGGGGATTTCTGGTACTGGCTAGAATGCAGTTTGGTGATGCCCGTTGACTGGAATCTACATTTTTGCTACTATTCTAAGTGCACTTCCATGCAATTCTGATAAAATGTTTAAGGAGCAGTTAGGAGCTTCCAAGCAATTACTTTGCCATGTTTTTGATTTTTGAAGATAAGTTACAAATAAAAGTCATTTAACTTAAAAATCCCGTCTTTGTGTGGACTCTTGTTTCTTCTTCCTTGTGGTTTGTACGTTTCGGTCTCAGCACCTCCCTAAAATAGCTTCTTGCCAGCTGCATCATGCTGCAAGGAGCACTGTGGATGCTGAGAAATGCAGACCTGGACTCTTGACTTCCATTAAATAGTTTGTACTGATTGGTTGCAACTTTATAATCTTCAAGCAATGGACCACACAAGTCATGAAAAATAGTTCAGCTCTAGTTCAGATCAAGTTCTGCAAGAGCTGGCCAGAATGCTGCAGATGCAGCCTTACATGTGAATCACAGAATTATTGAAGCTGGAAAAGACCTCTGAGATCATCAGGTCCAGCCTATGTCCCAACACCGTTGCATCGGTTAGACCATGGCACTAAGACTTTCCTTAAGCACCTCCAGGGAAGGTGACTCCCCCCCTTCCCTGGGCAGTCCATCCCAGTGCCTGAGCACCCTCTCCGAGAGGAAGTGCTTCCTGAGATCCAACCTAAACCTCCCCTGACGCAGTTTCAGGCCGTGCCCTCTTGTCCTGTCACTCGTTGCCTCGGAGAAGAGCCGGACCCCCACCTGACCACAACCTCCCTTTAGGTAATTCCAGAGAGTGATAAAGTCCCCCCTGAGTCTCCTCCAGGCTAAACAACCCCAGCTCCCTCAGCCTCTCTTCATAGGACTTTCCCTCTAGTCCCTTCACCTTTAATCTTCCTCTAAGCCATAGAAGTAACCCCCTATCCCAAATTTCTTGTTAAACTGGGAAAATGTGACTGTCCAGCAGGCCCTTTCTGCTGAAATCTTTATAGCTCTCATGGCTCTCGGCAATGACCGGTCAGAAGTTGCTTGTGCTGAGTGACTGTACCCTGTCTGCGTAGACCCGTTCCTTGACTAAATACTAGGCATTGATTTGCCTCAATTTATTACTCGGAAATTATTTCACAGAAGGTACAGACCAAAAGTAGTGACTGGAAGATGCAGTCTGGTTCTGCTTTGACTTCGATTTCACTTGTGTATGAATCAGAAGCAAGAAGATCCTGGCACCTGCTACTTGGGAATTCACAGCAGAAGGCACAGCGCTGCTTTCTGCGCTGTCATGAGTGTCCTTAGGACTGCTGGGAGGTGAACTTAGTGATGGGCTTCTGCTTCCTCCAGCAGCTGAAGAGCTTTGTGTCTCTATGCTGCTGACTTGATCAACTTAGCATAGCGTGCATAAACAGGTTTGTTATGTCTTACTGATGTTTGCTGGTGGATTTAAAAAGACGTTCTGTTGAGAGGTGTATGTGTTCTGTGTATGGCCTCGATTTATCTCATTTGTGCGCAGAAACTCGTGATGAAAAAAAGCCTTATAGAACCAACTAGTTTATAGTTTAGGCTTCTAAATCCAGTGGCCTGTTACTGCAGAAGAGTGAAGTGCTCTGCCAGAGCTGCTCTCACCTCATCAGCGGCTGCTCTTGTAGCTGCAGCAAATCCCAAGTGCCCATTGTTGGTGTTAACGCAATCGGGCCCCCTCGGACCTGTGAAATTCCCCGTGTCTGGCACAGGAGTCAGCCTTAGGAGGACGATTAGCACAAAGGGAGAGGGGCAGACTGGGAGCAGACAAGCTTGTAGCTGAGCTATTTTTTTTAATGAATCTGTCTCCAGTCAAAGACTGACCTTAATAGATCTGGCAATTGTTGTCAGCATTAACTGCCTACAAAAAATGCATCGCTTCATCTAGAATTACAGCAATAACTCCTAGAGTCTCCTTTCACTGGAGGGATGAGGTCTTGCAAAGGATCCGATCTACAACAAAGCATTAAGGGTATATTCTGGGTCCTTGCATCACCTGATTAGCAAAGGCATTCGCAAGCTGTACTGGATGGTCACTGATAAGACCAGCATAAGGAGGATCTCTCTCCCACACACAATGCCAAGACTATGTTAAGTCACAGAAAAGCAGATGGGCAATGTGCTCACAGTCCTAAAGCTTTTCTTTGGTTTAAACAGACAACAGGGATTTTGCTGGGTTTGTGGGTGGGGTTTTGGGTTTTTTTTTCCTAACACAGACCTTTATGTATGTCAGAGTTGCATTGGCCTGTGCTTCCTTCTTCAAAAGCAATTTTTTTTTTCTGGCTAAACTGCATTATTCTCGAGGTGATACAAATGAAAACTGTTGAAAACACTATGAAAACTTCCTTTCCTTTCCCCAAAACTCCAGAAAATATTCAATGCTTACCGAAAATAAGTGTTGCTACGAGCTTGGATCTCTCTTCTAGTTCTTCTCCCGGTTGTCCTGTCCTTACTTAGTTCTCAGTCACTGGACTTAAAAAAAAAAATAGTACAGTGGAGCTTCGGGGAGCTGTTTTAGTACCTCCACGCAATGACCTGAGCATAGGGGGAAGAAGCCGACCCTGGCCGCTGGAGCCGTGGCCGGCACGGCGAGTGCCGACAGCAGAGGGAGGTCTTGCGTTTTGGAGAGACCAGAGCTCGCACCTCCCAGCCCTGTGCTTGTTCTCCTTCTCCACCGGGCTCAGAGACCTGCGATGGGTTCCAGGGAGCTTCTCCGGTCTTGCGGTGCAGGTACACCCCTCATCCCTGCACCTCATGCCCCGAACTTCCCCTTGCCCCATCACGGGAGCAGGAGCTTTGCTGGTGGCTGGAGCTTTGCTCTGCAGTGGGATATTTGAGATGCTTCATGTAGCCATGGAGCCAAAGAAGGTAAAAAAAGGAGTTCGCAGCAGACTGGCCACTCTGGAGGTGGCTAGAGTGAGCCTGTGAGCAACTTAGGCCGCTCCGTGTTGGTCTGGGCCTGGAGCTGTGCCATGGGCTGGTGGCAGAGCTGCCCTGACCACCCTGGGGCTCAGCAGCTGCCAGAGCCCAGTGCTGTGGTGCACGGTGGGATGACTAAGAAACCACTACCATTTCCAGCCCATGAGTCATTGCAGAGTTTCCCCTCCCCTCTGGTCTCCTGCTCTCTGTCCCTTAGCTCGCTGGCTCACGGGCACAGGCAGGTCAGGTCACTCTCTCCCTTGATCTCAATTTTTCCTCCAGCACATGTGAGTTTTTTCCATGCACCATGGTTGGAACAGATCTCATTATTAACATTTCAGAAAGAACGGAGGAACAGGCTTTGTTTCTTGAAAGAAAACCACCGAGTTGGGTTCCTTGTACGAGTGTCCTCAGTGTAACCACATCCGCGACAGGTGGAAGAGCACGGGGGAGGGGGGGCACCTGCAGC